TAATCACGAAAATCATTGTTTTATTTTTTAGCATATTATTGGAGTTTAAACAATATTACCTATTCCTTATAACTACACAACCCCGCAGAAAAATCGTAAATACTACACAAGAAAACTAGCATTACAATTATTTTTGGGATTTTCGTTTAAGTGCATTAATTAAAAAAAAAAAAACAATAATTATTATCATCTCGCATGCCGAAACAGTATATCTACTACAATTTCTACATACTATACTGTTGGTATAATCACAGACTATATGAAAATAAATTTCATAAAAAATATATTTCATATAGTCTGTGGTATAATCGTGTCTGGATAAATCCAATTGTGTGTGACTATACATACTCCAGTTTACTGTCTGCATTACCTATTGGCTATTAAACCTAACGGCACAGTGAAGCGAGATCAATTTTAACCTTTAGTGGCTTGTTTTGCGATTCCGTATAAAATTCCGGTCAGACTTGCCCCCTCACCATTATATTATAATATGTCCGACTCGTGTGATCAGCTGTTTTTTTTCTAATCACGAAAATCATTGTTTTATTTTTAGCATATAATTGGAGTTTAAACAATATTACCTATTCCTTATAACTACACAACCCCGCAGAAAAATCGTAAATACTACACAAGAAAACTAGCATTACAATTATTTTTGGGATTTTCGTTTAAGTGCATTAATTAAAAAAAAAACAATAATTATTATCATCTCGCATGCCGAAACAGTATATCTACTACAATTTCTACATACTATACTGTTGGTATAATCGTGTCTGGATAAATCCAATTGTGTGTGACTATACATACTCCAGTTTACTGTCTGCATTACCTATTGGCTATTAAACCTAACGGCACAGTGAAGCGAGATCAATTTTAACCTTTAATGGCTTGTTTTGCGATTCCGTATAAAATTCCGGTCGGACTTGCCCCCTCACCATTATATTATTATAATATAGTGCACGTCGAAAATCCTCCGCAGACGGCCGCCACGAACAATATATATTTTATATATATATCCGCCTAACGCACACACTACTGCAGATACATATTATATATATTTTATAGGTACCCTAGATTGTACGCGTGTGCGTATAAAATATATAGACCGCGCAGCTATATAATAACTATGCTTGTGTATATACCTTATATTATTTGTTCGACGTGCGAGTCGTGTGAATTGGAAATCGCCACTGACGCTGTTTTTCGCGGCTTGTACAAACACCGGTGACGTATAATGTGTGTGTACCTATATATATATATACACAGCATAGTATTATACATATACCCCCAACGCCGGTACACGTGCCCCGACGTTTTGTAATCTTTTGTTGCACGTGGACACCGCCGCCGCGACACACCATCCCATCCCCGCGGCGGCGCTTAATATAATATTGTGCCCAGCCGAATGTGTGCGACCCGGTCGTATTATCATTATTACCGTACGACGAGTATACACCCGGCACAATGAACGTTATTTGCACCCGTAAACAAAAACCCGGTGAAATTAGCCCCGGCCGTGTTTATATTTCTCCCGAAAACGATAATACGGCGGTCCATTATGTTATTACTATGCGTTATAATATTATGTTGTACGGCCGAGGACCTTTGGCCGACGACCCGCCCACCTCCCCTCATCGCCCCGCAGCAGGTTTTCAGGCGCATTAAACAATATACGGTTGGCGAAAACGTTCTCACCGTTTACGGGATTTGTACACGCCGTTGGCAAAATGTCTATATTATAATATGTACGTATTATTGGCTATGCACAATTTAATCGGAATTCAACAGTTTGCGGCTATATATTCTCATTAATCTATAATATATAATATTATAATATAATATATTATATATAAATGAATTTGTGTGTGTCTTTTATGCATTCTTAAGCCGTTCATCCCATTGCGATAATGCGATGACATTTGGTACAGAGATATCACAATCGCATATCATTAGAGGAATACCCATTAGAGACGTTTGGGGAAAATATAGGCTAATTTAAAAGGGTAAATTAGAGGTCCAACCCGGAGAGGTGCTCAAATAATAGGGATTTTGAGATTAACGATGGAAATGTTTGTTTGTTAATGGTTGCTGTTGGTTTTAGTAATAATAATAACTGTTAATACCTGTTGGCGCATTGGCACTGCAATGTATTTGAGTACAGAATATCTCAGAATCAAACTACGGTTTTGGTGGACCATTTTTTTGCATTGTTTTTTTTTTATTTTTTATTTTACTTCTTTATCTACACATCCGAATGTTTGGTTGTTTTTTACCCATCGGATTTTAGTACTGTAAGGTTAGGTTAGGATTTTGTATTATTTGATTGTATTAATACACCATAGGTTTAATTAAGTAAAAACGACTAACTTGGTATATCTTTGATAGGTACAAGGTACTTTAGAGTTAAATTATACACTTACGTACAATCCACACGGGGTCACAAGATTTACTGCAGGTAGATTGGCTACCTGATAATATACTGCAGCGAGTCCAAGGAAAACACCGGTTGAGATGACTATACTTTAAAATATAATATCATTTACATTTAAAAAGACATTGCTTCCGCAGCGTGTTACACCCAAAAAGAGTTGAACAATAAAAATTTTTTTCCTGGCAACGTCGGGTAATTCAGTTAGTATACAATATAAATTATAATACCTATCAATATATTGCGCTGCGAGTACCTATATATAATTATATATTATATAACATAATATACATAGCTTTAAAAGTAAGGGTAGTATCGTAGTATAATACTAATTTTATTTTGAGAAATTAATGGGTAACAATATTTTGTCTCGCCGTTTCAAAAATAACAATAAAAAAATCATAATCCTTGATTAATTACAATTAGGTACCTACAGGTACAAACGTCAAACAGTAAAGAAAATTGCACTAAAAATGGGAAGGTAGGTAGAACCATAAAATCAAGATATAATAATAATAGCAATCTATATATTAAACATAACCTGCAATTTCATGGCGGTGTTCGAACAGCAGACGGCCCTTACCTATACCTAGGTGGCTAGGTATACTATAATTTATATACAATCTGGAATTTGTGGATGAATAACGTACAGAGACTGAAGTGCAGAGGCATGCGGTATTGTCACTTGGCCGAAGTTTTTAAAATGTGATAGGGCAATTTCAAAACTTCGCTGCCTCAATATCTGAATTATTTATTATAGAGGTACCATAATAAAGTTCATCCACATTTTTTTAAAAATGAAGTCGGGTCATGGCCCGACCAAGCCTTGGACTTCGGCTCCACTGTACTGTTATTGTACCGTAGTGCAAAGAATAAATTGTATGCCTACGTCATATATTATATTAAGCAAATATAACACAGGTGTTTGACATTTTTATAATATATTAATATGTAATAATAGTACTAACATAAAATATTCACATATTATATCAAAACGGATGAATGGAAACCTAAAGACTAAGCAGTGTTGATAGTTGAGTATTGATTTCTAAATAAATAGGATAAATTCAAATGTACACAAAATGTCCATCTTGTTAAAAGAAACTCATAAATATAGTATAGTTATATTATACGTAATAGAAGAAAGTATTAATATACTCACCGAAATGTGGCTGTAAGCAAACCTTTATCGGATCATTCAAACTTGCGATGAGTTTGCCAAGTTTACTATTGATAAAATGTATGGATTTTTTTTTGGTTATTATAGTTATTACGCATTAAAATATCATGCTCTGGGTGTCACAACAAGGGTTGATTTTTAGTATTATTTATTCTGATCGCATAAAACGTTCTCGTGCGATGACGATGTCACGGTTTTTGTCACTGCGAAAATCCGCGTGACATCCGTGTATGCAGTATAATATGCAGCTCATCCCACTCGACGTATATGTATAATATCATAGAACATAACAATAATATTAATAATAATGCATTATCTTTTGTCGCGTTTTACGAGCAGCTGCTATTGGTGTGTAATGCGATTATACCGGGGCCCGGAAAAAAACAATGACCGTTGCGCCGAGGACGACTGCAAAATACGCGGCTGATGCGACGTCGTCAGTGCACGTTGTCCGTCTATTTATGTGGATATCGCGGGGGACCGCCACCACCTGCAGCCATCGATGTCTCTGCGCGATCGGTCGCGGCGGGGCGCACCTGTTTTCCGACTGTTTATAATATTACAACCCGGGATCGTGAATACGAATTTTGTTTTGTTTTTTTTCATTTTTTCAACCCTCTCCCCACCGGATGATTATTAAAATATAGTATGATATAGGACAACAGTATTTTCGAGACTCATCTCGGTGCTCCGCCCGCTACCGCCGATTAGCCCAGATCCCGGATCGCCGGCACGTACGGGGAATAAATATTTAACAAATCTATAATTCTAAATTCATATCCATTATACGATCGTCATCAGAAACAATCAGCTGGTACGTCCGCGTTCAACTACTGCTCAGGCAAGTGTGTGTAAATTAATATAATATTATTGCAGTCGAACAATAGCATGATGTAAACGTTAAGAACTAATTTTTTTTTTTGTGTCCATATTTGTATTGTTTTTTATATTTACAAGTCTAGATTGTCATTGTCCGGTAGGTCTGACTAACTCAAATTCGGTGGTTTCATGTATGTTTTAGACATTGATAGGACACGCTGCACCTACGTACTGATTTACTGTATGTCTGTATATGCTACACAGACATCATAATATTATGTGAAACAACCTTTTATCCATATATTTGCAATAGATTAACATAAAACTATAATAATAAATAATAATTAATACAGTATTATAAATCGTAAGTAAAATTAATCGTAAGTATTATTGGTTTTTTTTTATTTTATCTATTAAATAACAATATATCATTTTGCCAAATTAACACGATTACAAGTCAACTTAGTCATAAGCACATTCAAAATAAATACAAAACAGTTGTGATGAATAAAATAATAATAATAATAATAATAATAATAATAATAATAGATAATAATTTATCAATATTGTTTATTATTGGTGATCGTCTAGCTGTAATGAACTGGCGTCGTCAGATATATTGTTACAAAAATATGACGCTTGCATTGAGTACAACCGATCGATAGGATTTGAACCACATCGGATAACGGTCTCCTGTGAAACGAAACCGCCATAAATGTGCTTAGGTATCATAATATCTGATGTTAAGTAATTTGGTTCTTGGCGGTTGTTCAAGTCTAAAAAAAAATAATTTATGATGTATAATTCGTAATAATACCTACACAATTGTAAGACTATGCAAGTTAGATTAACTCAATCATTAAAAGTAAGTTTAATTATGTTTCCATTTAAGTTCATCTATAAAATACATGGTAGCTATAATAATAATTTTGTCAGTCAGATGAAGAATTAGTCAGGGTTATCAACATAAATAAGTAAAACTAAAAAAAATATACAATTTATTCAAATAGGTAAAATAAGTATCTAAGTAAAATAGTAGTTTGTGTATCAGATAGTGAAAAAAAGTAGGTATTTAGCACTAAGTAAAACAAGACATGATTGGTATCAAATATTTTTCGGCTCATCTCATCAAAAATAAAAACACTGGAAGTATCTTTCTGCCTGTTTTCATTAAATTGGAAAATTTTTAACCATCGTTTTATCTTTATAATTATTGCACCAACTATTTATATTTTATTAATATGTTTCTGTTAACATAAATTAACGGCGATTGTAAACTGCGCCCAAAATACAGGTAAACACAAAATCACACATGTAAACTGCGCCCGAGTTTTTATCAAGAGTAAAAAGGTGACATGTAAACTGCGCCCGGGTAAAATTACAGGTAATATACTTAATTCGTTACAGCCATATAATTTGAATAATTAAAAATTAAATATAATTTTAAAAATTAAAATAATTATAAATATTACAAATAATTACATATGGTGGATACATATTCGTCAATTTGAATTTGACTACTATTATATTTATTAATTAAATTTGCTAACTTTTCGCGTTTTTTTTTTTGGTTTTAGAGTTTTGGAATTTAAACGGTCCATTTATACTATTTAGTTTAATGTATACTTCTATTTGAATTTCTTTTAACTTTTCTATGAACTAGAAAATATTTGGATGAGTTGTATAAAAGCTTGAAAAAGTACACAATCGTCAAACCTAGAGACTTTGATAAGTGAAAATTTAATAAGTTTATTAGTCGGGCGCAGTTTACATTATATATTTTTAACATAGATAACATTTCGGGCGCAGTTTACACTATACCTTTTCAACTAAGATAACAATTCGGGCGCAGTTTACAAAAAAAGAGGTAATTTGGGCGCAGTTTACGTATGCCCTAAATTAATGCCGTTTAATAGCCCTGACGAAAATAAATAAAATATTTTATTCACACGAGTACACTATAATATTATTTAGTACCTATACAGACATAGAATTTAGATATTTGAAAAGCTAGTATGAACTATATGAAACTGATAAGTTTAATAGCAATATCATTTATTTACAAAGGTATGTATAGTTATTAATAATAAATGAAAATTCTTTCGAAAATGTATAAAGTGAAATTAGATCGGTACTCAATAACATTATTGCAAAGCTCAACGAGATCAAACATGGCAATAAACACTAAGTAACAGATATATTTTATTTCAAACAGTCAATGAAATTTGATCGATTATCTCAAATATCATTTAAGAACTTAATGAAAAGTTGTTCAAGAAAGGCAAAGTAAATTATTTTCTAATACAGTAATACATAAAAAAAACTTAAAGTAGCTTTACAAAATAATTTGGTATCTACTAGAAAACACAACCACAATTTATTATTTTCTTCTATTTATTAATTTAATTTAAGCACCTAGGTATTTAATTTAGCTATAGATATATTATGTAACGGGAAAAATGTAATATCGTTCAGAAATAATGAAGAAAATGTACACTTTGACCTATACCTACAGTTGAACTATTTTAAATAAAGTAATTAAAATATTTATTTTACCTTTTTCCATATATTTAGGATGTTTTAGTATTTACTATTTAGAAGTATCTAATATCTATTACATAGTTTAGTGTATATGGGATACATGTACGGGCAATATCAATGTGTTCTAGCTTGACAGGATATACTTTTAGGATGTTGGATGTTTGTTTTAAATTGAAAAGTACATAATGGTCAACATTTTATAAACGATTTTGTAAAGCACTTACTGAGAATTCTTAAAATTATTTCAATGGTTAGATAATAATGTAGGTACCTATCATATTTTTATTTTGTTTTTATCTAGGTATAGATGTTTTTCATATTTTGACGAGAACTATACGTCTATCAGTATCTTAATTTATATTAAATTAGCAGTTATCTTAATATAGATTCTAATATTATTAACAGTACAACCCGGTATGTTTTGTATAGTATTGTCTATACATTGCTAATTAACTTCAAGAAAACGTCAATACCTGAACCATTTTAACATAGATTACAGCGCCATACCATAATAATAAATATTAAATCCCTATTTTTTTAATTTTAGATAAATGATGCAATAGTTTTTTTGAATAGGTAACAAAAACAAAATTTGGGTTTTAATTACTAAAAGTAAATGTTTTATACTATTTACCTATAGAACAAAATATATTCTTTCAATATGTTTTATAAAATAAAACGCTCCAGTGGTCCGCTAAAAGAGTATTTATAATAAAATACTATACCTAAGTAGTTTGTACGAACTCAAATTGCACACAACATTACACAACTTACATCACATTTAGTTTACATATAACTTACATAATTTAGTAATACAACATCAGTAGGTACTGACCCAGTATTGTTGAAGTTTGACTTATGATACTATGATAGTATAGAGTTAGATATGTCGATACATTAATAGTTTGAGTTTGTTTAAACTTTGGTTACAGTATTATTATCTAACCTAAAATGTTCATTAACATTTGTAATAAAATCGAGTTGTTTAAATGTATAATTTTAAAAGTACTTTAGAAAATACTAAAATATTATGATATTATATTCAAAAAGAATTGAAAATATTTCTCAAATACTAGTATAATAAATATATTTTAATTTTGAATAATATTTAAATACATTTAACGAGATAGAAGATTGTTCAAGGATTTTTTTCAAAAAACTTAGTACTTAGATTGTGTTTGCAAGTCTAAGCTCAATAGAAATTAATTAATCAATTCATTAATCATGGTTTGTCAAAATGATTAAATAAAAATAAACAAACTAAACTCTATAAAACGGTTTGATTTTTCTTTAATATTATATTACTACATTAGTACCTATAACGTCTATAACTCTGAATCAGAATAAAGACAATATGATTATATCACATATTAAGAACTCTGAAATATCCATTTTACTACGGATAACCTATTTTAGCAGTTAACTCTTAACTACGTGATTTTGAAGCATAAATCATATGGGTAATATACTAATATATACCAATCTGTAAACTGTTTAAATGCAATAACAGTTTAGGAGAAAATATGTCGAAACTCATATTCTTCGCCATTGGCCTGCAACTGAGGAAAATAAAAACTAAAAAGGAAATAAACGTCATTGTTACGTCTATATTTGTACAAGCTAGAACTCGTCATTGGCCTGCACGCCCGAGACGACGGGGAAACGAGGTGTCGTGTGTGTGCGTGTGAGTGCGTGTGTGAGTGCGTGTGTGAGTGTGTGTGTGTGTGTGTGTGTGTGTGTGTGTGTGTGTGAGTGTGTGTGTGTATGTGTGTGTGGAGGTCACACCGCAGGAAGTCCCCGCGGGCGTTAATACGCACGTTTATTATTTTCTTCTCTTGGCGAAATGATCGGAGGCTACGTCGGACGGAGAGGGTGTGGTGGTGTCGGGGAGTGTACGCGTGTCACCCACCCGCGTCTTTATTGGTCCCTACCACCCCTCGTCTGCCACTACGGGCTACGTTTCCCCCTCTACAAATCCCTTTGACAGCTATAAAACCGTGGCGCGGGGACGAGGGATTATCCCCCCTGTTCGTATATAGCCTTCGATCACAGCGGGCGCGGGTTTAATATTAAATTCTTCAGACTAGGACGGGCATTATAGAGGGAAGTGTGGGGTGGGGTTAAGGGTTTTGTATGGGAACCATTACAAATAACGCGGGAGCTTTAAGACGCCAGTGCATGTTGGGGAGAGGAGAATCTTCAGGGGAAAGTCGTTTCTTCCTTTTTTTCCCCCTTTTTCCTTTTTCTTTTCTCTTTTTTTTCTCCCTATACTCTATATGCGCACTCCCCTTTAGCTAAATGCTTTCTAGGTCTTGGCTTTTATATTTTCAACCGAAAGAGCAGAAGGGAAAATTCAGTTAGTGTATATTATATATATATATATCATCATCGTATCTCATCGGGGGGACGAATATATACCACCGAGACCGAATTGTCGCCCTACTATTTATTTCTATTAATTATAATAGTTATGAATATATACAAGGACTTAAGGTATATAGTAGGTAACTTATATAGTACCTAACTATATATGTTTATTCATATTGTATACTTGGACAATCGTAAGTCCCAAATTAAATATTGAATTTTTCGTTTAATCTGGGACTCTTGAGATTCATCCCTCATCAATCATCGTTAGTAATACACTAATACTTTGATTCTATATTTTAGAATTAATGCATATTCAACTGTTCAATATTTATATTTATTTCCCAGAAGTCAGAACTTATTGTACTTCCTTAAAAATTTAAAAATATAACTAATTTTACTTAAATTTGTAGAGTAAGTTAGGTTTGTAAATTATTTGAAGTGTATGTAAAATAAATTAAATAGGAACTTAATTGTAATAATATTATATTATAGTTGATAAAACAATTTAAATACATTTAAACAAATCAAATAAAAAAAAAAAATTGTAAGCTCTAATAATTACAAATTAATTTAAAAATACATTCGTTAACTTTATAAACCATAAAATGAATACAACTTACCTTGACCAAATATACCAAAAGACTGTTGTTGTAAAAACGATGGCATGGAATCTTGTTTTACAACTGCAGCAGATTGGTGTCGTATTTGAAAAGGCTCATGTATTTGTTGCTGAGGTTGTCGGTGGGATTCTTGTTGTTGAGTCGTTTCGAATCTTTCGGATCCACCATCTCGCAACCATCAGGAACCTAAACAATTATTTTATAAAAAAAAGTGCATACGTCACATACCTTGTTTAAAAATTAAAAGTACCAAATATGAAATACAGTTTTAAATAATAATTATAGAAATGTAGTAGGTATATTATTTTCTAAAATTTAAATATTAGGAGATATTATGTATTATTATTATTATTATTCATGCTGTACAGTTAAATAAATATATATTTTTTTAATTCCACGTACGGTTTTTTAATGTTTAAATAAATAGTAAACACTAAAAAGGAAAACATTAAATATTAATACGATAAACAAAAACGGAAATATGGAATTTGACATATCATTCATATCATTATTATATTATATTTTTTATTATATTATTATTCTCTATAGACTACAGTTTTTGTTATAGGTTAATTTCCTCTAAGATAACTCAAAAACATAAAAAATAATTGTTTGCGTGAATGCGTTTAGTTTATGTGGTACGTGGGCTAGAGAGAGAAAACTAAAAGTGTGCTGATGGTTAATCCTCTTAACAAAATGTTTGTACTAATCTATTAAGGTTAAAATTAAGAGATGTCGACGCGTTGTGGTTAAATTCCGGTCACCATGGTTGGCACAACACTACCTACCTATGTTGTTTTTCATTTTGCGCCCATTCATGTCGTCAGATAAATAGATAATCTGACGCGGCCAACGAGGACAGTGTTATTATTCTGTGGTTTAAACATCCTGTAGTAAATAGTTCAGGTTAGATTATTGTTACAGATTTTCGGTTAACCTAGATCTTAAGTATGGTCGTAGGGTAGAAACTATAGTAAGAAGGGAAGGTATGGGATGGACAATATATATATATTTATACATATATTTAATTATGTATGATTAATGACCTGGGCATTTGGTGCCTAGTACGATGAAGAACAAAACACATTTAAAATTTAAATACTAGTGAACATGTGTGTGAATTGTCAATTACATGGTATAAAATGTGAGTTAAAAAAATAAAATCAATGTAAATACATTATATTTGTGGCCAGCATGTAAAGACCACTTAAAACCACTCAAAATTATTTTAAACAAAACTACAAAATTAATCTTTAACAAATGATACTCCATGAGCTAGGCTTAAAGACAGGCTTAATGAGTTAAAACCGTAAAGAATATTTTTTTAGAATTGTTCACGTTATGTCACTTATAAAATACGCTTGGATAGAACATTTGTAATCGACAGTCATAAAGGGTAAGACAATATATTTTTAAATCTGAGTGGAACGAGGATGTTTTAATTTTAACAATGATGTGTTGTTTCTTTTTTTATTTTTTTTTTGTCTGTTCACGTTTTAAAGTGCTAACAACCTATTTGGTCATTTTTTTTTTACCTGTATTAATATGTCTTTAACCTAGATGGATACGGTCTCCGCTCAGAATCGTTTCTTTCAATGAATTATTCATGAAGTATCTTTATACATGACCCACTTACCTATTAGAGACCTTTTTATTTAATCCATAATAAACATACATAAGAACAATTTATAGTGGTATGTATTGTGTATCTGTGTAAGAAGTAAGAACTAATATAATAGGTAGGTATCTTATTGTTGTACTTATATATATATATTAACTTCATATTTATGATTTTACTTTTTTTTTCTTATACATTTGAGTTTCTCATGTACCATTTTCCTAATTTAGTTTTAAAAAGAGTTCACATTAATATTTTTGGAAAGACAAATAAATTATACTACGATATAGGTATATAACTACTATTAAATGCGTCATATTATAATATAATGTTTGTCAAAACCTCGAAAGCAACGCATGCATTAAAAACCAAAGATATAATTTCTGGCTTCTGCCAAGGAAATGATAAGATGTTTGCTGTATATTTGTATATTTAATTGCTGATCAAAGAATATTTGAATAACGTGCATGCATAAAAGATAAAACAACATGATTAGATATACATTTTCACGATCATACATATATATTTTACAATAATACCTAATTTATAATTTATATTATAACATAACTATACATTTACTACCTAATCACTTAGTTAGATACTTATTATTTCTGAAACATAAAGTTTATTAAAACCTTATAATATTACATAAATAATTATCGTCATTATAAAAAGGTACATTCAAATTCAAAGGCATTTACCGAATAATTCCATTTAAAATTCAACAGCACTTTAAAATTATCTAGGTAATTATAAACCTTTATGACTGGAATTTTATATTTATTATTTGTTGTTAATCGATATTGATGTATATTGTATACAATTTATTTAACGAATTGATAACTGTATTCAATAATTTGATTTTGGGGGAAATGATCATAATATTATATAATATACATAATACATGTGGTGATCTAACTTGGAATGAAAAAATTTGGTATATTTTTTAGATGTTACTATGTTAGTAAATGAAGAAAAGTAATAAATAGATAGCCGAAAATAAATACGGGAGTGGGGTAGGAGGTTTCTTCGGCCTGCAAATCGACAGAGGGTGGAGCATCTTGGTTTCCTTGGTAACGCGTACGACCCTTGTCTTATAGTTCACGGCAGTGGTGGCATAACATCGACACTAAATTCCACATACATACCTAGAATTTCCGTTCGGGAGATTTTGAAAACTTAAAATTTTAAGTGTTAGAAAAAACCAATAGAACACATAACACATGTATTATTATGTATTCATGTATACGTCACCACATAGTCTTTTAATCAACATTTCGACCATATTAAGGTCGATATGTAATAATATATTATAACAAATAAACATAATAGGTACTAGTGTAAATTATATAATATTATGATACTTACTGTATTGTTCGTCTTTTATAGCTGATTGTAGAAGTCCACTCGAACTACACGAATTACCACTTTCAGCTCCACTACAAATATTATTTCCATTAGTATTATTGGATGTGGCAACTAAACTGTTGCTATTAAGTTTTGCTTTTTTTTGGATCTTTTTCATTTTTGCTCTTTGATTTTGAAACCAAACCTAAAACATAAAAAAATAATTTTTAACTTAAAGTATTCAAAGCTAAACTAAATCAGTTTAGTTGTCTGACTCATCATGACACACAATTTAATTTTTGATTTAGTAGGTATCTGGTATACTAAAATTTAGATACCTAACAAATTAGTTCGTATAGCCAATTCTCAATAGGTAATCAAATGATACATTTATTAATTTTGTATGAATTATAAAATATATTAAGTACATAGTAAAACGCAATAAGAATATGGTTTATAATTAGGTATTTGAAAACTGTAATTTATTTATTTTATTAAAATTTTAAATTGATATTTGTATACGACTTCTTTGATATTTTGCACTCAACACTTTACAATGTGGGAAAAATTGACAGCATATATACTTGCATTACCTAATCTTGAATTTTACTCTTTACCATGTGTATAATTTAAAAAACTATAGTGATCTGTTTTTTAGAAACATAAAGTATAGTCATTTTAATTTATGTCTTCGAGAAAAAATATGGCACTTATATATTTCAACACAACTAACGATGAACGGATTACAAACAGTATACACAAAATAACTGAAATATACAAATCGACTTTCCAACAACTACTGTACATTCCACCTTTACAAACTCTAATATTAGGTATGTATGAATAATAGTCGAGTATTCTAAAATTAGAATACAACATTAGTTTTAAACGTCATGTTATATAACTTATATGAATATGTTTAAAACTTATATTCTAGTCAAAAAGTATTTTCACAAAGATACCAAATATATTTTGAAAATTATTACATTATGCCTAGAAAAAGTTATTATAAATATTTGGTGATAATGTTAAGTCCCTATATGTATACTGTTATTTCTTTTTAAATTAAAATTATTAAACAAAAACATAATCTAATTTTGCCGGTAACTGGTGTTGTGTAAATATTATATTTACTATTGTTTTTAAGTTTTTCCCTTATATTAAGAAAAGTATTAGGATTTGTGATTTGTCTATAGACAAAAAAAACACATATTGTATGTTATTTTACATTAATTGTACATTTCTTTATTCTATTTTAAATAGGTACTAAAATATATAATATTAAAACACGATAGGTAAAGGATTTTTTTGCAGAGGTAAATCTAAATGTATTTAAATCTCCATCATCTGCACTATTTATAATTAAAATTCTGCTAACCTTAATAGTTAGGTATACAAATATAGAATCCATTACAAATTTACAAATCAAATAATATGCTATATATATAATCGTTTTTTAAATAAAACTATAAGTAGCTTTTTGATCCAATATATAGCTGCACACAGAAATACTGGACTTAATAACCAACTCAAATCACAAACGCCGTTTCCAAACGATTAATCACAGCGAATAGGGGAGTAAAAAATATGAGTGTCTAATACAGACATCACTATTCCAGTTTCTTATTTTATATATTTAACATAGCTTCAACACATGTAAAGACAAACCTGGACAATGCGAACACTTAAGCCAGTATCGTGAGCTAGACCTTCTCTAACTTTTCGACACGGTTTTGGACTTAGTTCAAATGATGCTTTAAACGCCCTCCGTTGTTGGGTAGTGAGTATCGTTCTGGGACGTTTGGGTCCACGCCGACCATCGTGGTTATAACTCCAATCTCCTGTGTAATCATATTTCATATAAACACTAGTAAGGAACATGCTTTTTTTTTTACTTATATTATATGATAATATAATTCTACTCTATAGCTAACAATAAGTAAATATTAAAATGGTAAAATATATACAAGTGAAATGTATGATAGAAGAAGCCATTTATTGTGGTAACTATAAACTTCAGAATAATAATTTAAAAATTGTGATTGCCAGTATAGATAGATCCTTTATTGCATATAAAGTGTATGTATAGTAATCTTCAACCTAGCGTTTAACTATTTTAATATTTCAGACAAAAATTACTTATAATATTATTTGATAATAATTACGTCAAAATGTTGTAATTCAAATAATAGGGTTTTTTTACAACTTAATTTTAATACTATGCTAAAAAAAATGGGAATATATTATTATGAATGATTATGGTATAATTAAAATTTTAAATTTCAAACCAAATGTATTTCAGTCTTTCTTAATACTAAAAAAAAAATAAACAAACCTGTGTTTCGGTTGATTTCGTCTCGCATCATGTTCACCTCTTTCTCATAATCTGGACGACAAAATAGTTGAGAGTGCTTGATTACATACTGATCACCGGTGCATAGACGTGTACCACACACTACACAAACAAAACACTGTTCATGGAAAACGCACTCGCCTGCTCGCATTACCAATTCACCAGCAGCGATATGATCACCACAACTGCCACAACTACGGTATACGCACCTAAGACACGAAAATTAAATTAATTTGATTTAAATTTTATAATAACAATAAGTACCTATTATAATTTAACTTTTGTTGAGGACTGACTACTGAGGAGTCTTGGTTGTGTCTGTGAACACCGGTTTGTTTTATTGGTCCAATTCATTCACTACAGAGTAAAAAAAATCACTTCGCAATAAATAAAACCATAATTTATCTTTATCGGCTACGTATAATATAGAACTGGAAAACCTAATTTTGTATACGTTTTTGAGGACAACGTGTATGCATAGTTTAAATTATTTTAGAACTTTGATAGTTAATTGTTATTTTAAAAATACTTTTTATGTTTGATTTGTTTCATTATTATTTAAAAGTGAAAACATTAGATCATAGATCATTATTTTGTCATAAAGTTTTCAAAATTCTATAAGCCAATTATCATATCTACAATATTATTTTTAATGACAAAGTAAGACATTTGGTTTTATGCAGTTATATAATAATATCTTCATGGTTTTATTTATTTCGAAATAATCTTAATATTTTGCGTTCGAGAAAACAAACAAACAGGTTCCTCTCAAATGCATTTTATGGCGTATCTTTAAGCAAACATACTTGAACTCAATATAGTTGATTGTTTTTTATTTAATCATTTTTCTGCTATACTTTAGAGTTAAGATTGTATTTCTTGGTATCGATGCGTAACACTAAATATTGACGTATAGAATAAGTTATGATATTGTGGGATGTCGGATATGGGTGGGGATTGAGAGTGGTTGTTTTCTGTATATGCTTATCGTGCACCTAACATATTAATAGTACCTATATTAGAGTGTAGATAGTAATAGAGAATATGAAAACAGATTCGAATTTTGAGTAGTCTGATTTAAAATGACTCAACGTTGTTTTCAGCTTTTTCATCATAAGGCCCACCAAAATTAATTCAAACATTTTGAAAATTCACAATCTCGATTTTTTGGGAAAATTAATTTTAAAAAAAGGTGCTCTGCTGTACAGTAGGCTACAAGTGGGTCACTGTATAATGGATGGTATTAAATTTAAATTCAATGGTATAATATCATTGTATAAGAAAAACGATTCTGAGCGGAGACGTAATGTCAGTCTAGGTTTAAGACATATTATATACATATCTATGGTATTAAAAAAAAATTGACCTATAGTAAATTCCAAATTAATCATATCACAATATCCATTAGGTACTTATAACGCGTTATACATCAACAACAAACCCTGATACTATCATAGACAATAGTACACTTTAGAAGTTTCAAGTACCCACGAATAATATTATACAATCACAACAAAATAACTAAAATAGTTATTTTAGGTTTTTTAATATGTGATTTCGTCCAAATTTGAATTTAAATTGACTATAAAAATAAACTGTGCTTGTGTATTTTTTAGATTTTTTGGTAACAGAATTAACTACTTACATGAAATCTTGTTTTAAATAATTTAAATTTTCAATTCTTAGATATAAAAGTTGAACATTTTATAAATTTTTAACTACAAAATAATTATTTAATTTTAAATTTGATAAATTTTGTCAAAATTTGATCTTTAAATGATTATAAAAAAAATTGTGCCTATGTATTTTTAATATTTTTCAACTGCTCAAATTGAAAACTGACAATGCCCGTAAACAGCTTAAAAAGCGTCAAAATATTTTCATGGTGTATAGAAAATGCTAATATAAACATTCAGTCAAAATTTAATGTACCTACGGTCATTTGTTTAAGAGTTGCACCAAAAACCAAAATCAATTTTCTCGAAAACAGATTTTGCGTAAAAATTCCCGTTTTTCCTTAATTTTTCTTATGTTTTTTGAATTGTGCTTTATGGTTTTGAAAAATACTGAGAAATTTTTACTTTTGACCCCCCAAAGTACCAACTAGATTCACTTTCCTATCAGAAAAGGTACTGTTGAAGAAAATTCAAGCACTTTTACTGTCCTAAAAGGTGATGACAGACACAAAAAAAAAAAAAAACAACACATCATTGTAAAATCAATACATTCATCGTGTCACTCAGAATCTAAAAAACTAATAAAATTGGAAACTGAAAATGTCCCTAGATAAAAAAAAAATAAAAAAATAAAATAATACACATCATTGTAAAATGATCGGTTCGTTTGAAATTGAGTTGGTACAAATAAATTCCTAAATATTATATTGTGTATTCGTGTGTAGACAAGTAAAAAATCACCGCAACATTTTCCTTAAAAGAATGTCACACCCGCCTGTATTGTCACCGTCTTACGAACGTACAACGCATCGAATTTGTGTCCAGCAGTTCCAATTTTGTGCATTGACGTTTTATAATACTGAACATTTATCTACATTATCCAACTTAGGCGTATAAACATTATTTGTATTTTATCATGGGTTTTTTGTATTATTACATTTTTAAGCAAGTTATAAGAATTTTTAATATTTTACATACTTATAACTTGCTCAAAAATTAAAATATCCAATAGCTAGTTTGCTAGTATAATGTTCTTACCTTTAGGCTCCAAGTTTGATAAGTCAATTCACTCTATTATTAAGCTTACTCAAAATTGGAATTATGCGTTCGTAAGACGGAAACAACACATTCATGTGTGGCGTCCTCATAACATTGATTAATATCGGAGGTGTTATATTAAAAATTAATTTATTGGAAAGTCTGATAGGAATTAGGAATATAATTAGGCTCAACGAAAACCGAAACTTTTGGAGAAAACCTGGTGTGCTATATACAACACACCTACAATTAATTATTATTCAGATATTTATAACTTATAAGTAATAATAGCAATTATGTAATAATCCCACCTATTGTTCATCTGTTGGTTACTAAATAAAAAAAAGAATTTGATTTAAAAATTTGAATTAAATTTTGTATATGTGTTACCATGCGTATATTTTGATATTATAATTTATAATTAACTAGCTGAAGAACCCGGCTTTGTGTATGTGCGAATATAGGAGTTAATAGGTTGGGGTGTATCTCGGTTTGGGTATATCTCAGTTTTAACACAGTTTACGGGTAAATCGGCGTCAATGTACCTAGTTTTGTAAAATAATTCGACCTAGATGGGCAACCGCAAGTAGTGGAGCACAAAAAATGCTCTTTGCTCACCTCCCATTTGTAAATTTAATAATGAATTTATTCAAATTCTCATTTTAGAATTTTTAAATATACCTTTAGACCTTTCAAATTATTGGATTTTATTGTACTTCTTAAGGAGTGCCATGTGGTGATACAAACGTCTGCTTTATAATGAAACACCTTTACTGTAAATTATTTATTTAATAATTTTTTTGAACATTTTACCGTATTCTAAACATGAACGAGTAGATTTTCTGTTATTATAAAATATATTTTATATCAGATCTAGTATTTCTTATAGTTGCACCATTTTTACAAATTATTTATGTTGATAGAATAATACAGATCACTAAAATGTTCAAATCACCAAAGCCCCAACATCTTATCTTCTAAGCATATTTCAATAGATTATTGTCGATTAATATGATTTAATTCAGATATATTTTAACATTTTTTTTTCTTTAATAACACGATTTATCTATAGGTATATCAACGATAGGAATATGTCTGTCGAGAATTTTTCTATTTTCCATCTACAAAATACAAAATAGCAATATATATTTTCCAGTATTGCAGAATATATTATACGGAAATTTTATTTTCCCAACTATTATTTTTTACTGCACACACATTTCCTATACGTTTAACCTCAGACTGCTTAAGGCTTATCATAATAACATGTATGTGTGTACGTACTGTGTGTATATAGATAGATATAATATATAGAAGCATGTGTACCGTATATTGTGTGTATGTATACATAAAAGTTATGTCGTTTGATAGGCTTTATAGAAAACTACAAACATAATATACCGAGTATACAATATACATAATACATATTACATATAAATACAAATATGTACATATACATGCACGCGTGAACACATATATAGGACTAGCGGGGCTGTAGAGCTATAAAAACAAACCGCCTAATAGACGTAGGTATATACGTATATATATATATATATCGGTGGAAGGGGTCCCAAAAAGCAGTCAAAAGTATAGTCGGTGCAACATATTGTTTTTATACATCGCATCATCGCGGATCCCTCCCCCTTCATCCGGTCGACGACACTTGCATTATATTTATACGACGTGACGTTTTCACGGTTGTTACGGTAACGGTGGGGGCGACCCGTGGAGAGAGAAGGACAATATGTTACAAACAAGTTCTATACTGTCATCCCTCTTTTTTCCCCTCCGATCTAAGGGCACAAATCGCTGTGACCGTCTAATATCTGCACCTGCTCACCCCCTACTTCTTTTTTTTCGGTGACGTAAGACGTATGCGTGCACGTGTTACCGCAAAATTCAAGAATAAAATAAAAACGATTTATTTGCACACTCAAACTTAAATGTGGGTGTGCGTGTTATATTTCTATTTTTTTCTTTATGATTTTATCACCGAAACAAACGGCTCCTCCCTTTTTAAGACCGTGAAGAAAAGAGACCGAAAACTTTTAGCCACAAACTGCGCCCGCCAATAAAATAAATAAAAGAAAAACTATCAATGCAGCATGTTTTTTATATTGACAGTTAGGTTATACCTCCCCACATACACAGATAAATTATATTTATATACCTATATATAATATTATATATTTATATGATATACCTTCATTATTTAATATGGATGTGTATTGTGTGTATAGCAATTATTAATAAATTAACGACTTAATATAATTTTAGTTTTAAACATTTAAATTAGGTAATTAAAAATATTTAGTAGGTATATAATTTAGATTAAATTTGTTGTATAATGATAATTAAGAATAAGTAATAAGTTAATATGAAAATATTATACTTAACAATTTATAATATTACTGATTAAATAATGTCTATTTAAAGTGTTAAAATTATTAAATTGCATTAGGTACTATTCATGGATCTACAACGAAAATAGTAGC